CCTGGGCTCAGGCAATCCTCTTGCCTCCCAAAGTGTTGGGATTACAGGAGTGAGCCACCATGCCCAGCTCTCCAGCTTTTTCTATTACAATTAATGCTATTAAAAAACTTTGTATGTTGATGTAATTCCAAAGCTATCTGTAGGGTAAATTCCCAGCAGTGGAATTTCTGGGTCAAAAGCATGTTTTTATCTTAACAGTCATTGCCAATCTTCCCTCCAAAAATCTACCAATGATTCCCACCTACCAGGGAGTGTTCAAGTGTGTACCTTAAAACGTTCCATATGCATATTGATCACGCTTATGTATTAAGTGCCTCTTCACATTCACTGCTCTTTAAAAAAAAGAATTCCCTTCTGCTACAGGTGGTCATTTTGTCTTTTGACATATTTTCCTCCAAACAGAAGTTCTGGGAAAACAAATTCTCTGGGTCAAATACATCTATCCCCCAGCTTCTGGGCTTCATGTTCCACTTAAAGCACTCTTCCATACCTCACATTGGTGTTTATTTCCCCACAAAAAGTCATGCTACCAGGAAGCCCAAAATCAATAAGTCCCACCTGTGTATTCAAAACCCCCAATCATCTTTTTGGCGCCCCATTCCTAAATATGAGCAGTCAACCAATTATCACAGGATTTGGAGCACATATAACAATACTGTTAAGTGACTAGAACATAAAAAGTACAGGAAACAGACTACATAGGAAAAAAACTTAAGAGTAATGAGAAAATAATGCAGTTATGAAACAAGAACAGAATATACAGTTGGCCCTCCAAAAGCACAGGTTGCACATCCACAGACTCAGTCAACCACAGGTCGAAAATATTTGGGGGAAAAAAAGATGGTTGGACATGTGCAGACTTTCTTGTCATTATTCCCTAACCAATCCAGCATAAATACACGCATTTACAATGTATAATTGTATGATGATCTAATTATACAGGAGGATGTCACAGGTTATATGCAAACACTATCCCATTTTATATAAGAGACTTGAGCATTTGCAGATTTTGGTATCTGCAGGGGTCCTGGAATCAATCCTCCATGGATACTGAGGGACAATTGTATGTAAGAAACATTCAGAGAGCAGGTGTACTTAGAAATTTTTAATGCTAGCAAAAATTTAAAACTCTGAAAAAAGTAGGAAGATTAAAAACCAAGGAAATCTCCCAATAAGTCAAACTTGGAAACAAGAGAAAAGATGAGAAAGTTAAAGAAGCAGTTTAAAGAATATAGTTTTTGGATAATAGAAAAAAGTGTGATTAAGAAGGAAATATCTCAAGAAGAGATTTGCTGAGAATGAAGTTGATATACCTGCTGTGTCTGAACATTTGAATGTCATTCACCTTCGTAGTCCCAGAGTCAAATACACATCAGAAGACTAAAATATTTGAAAGACTAAATAAATAATTACCAAAGTATGGAGTCTTTGAAATAAAATGAAGTAATAATGCTTGAGAAACTTAGAATCAGTGAGCCTAAATCCTCTTGGTATTGATAATGGATAACAATATTTTATAATCTGGAACTCAATGCCTTGGACTGATAGCAAATGAGCTTTACCTATAAGCTGACAATACTTGCCCAAAAGCTGAAAAATGAAGACAAAGCTATTGTAGCCTAATCATTAAAGCGGTCAGTAAGAATACCTCTGAGACAGAGTAGCAGGTAGAGAACCTAGAAAGACAAATCCACATTTTTTTCATCAAATTTATTTAAAGTATTTGGCAGAGTAGAATTCACATGGAAAAAGCTTCTATATGCCAATAGCTATTTTACCTCCTAAAGTACATGAAACAGCCAGGTGTGGTGGCCTGTAATCCCAGCACTTTGGAAGGCAGAGTTAAGAGCCCAAGGGTTTGAGACTAGTCTGGGCAACTTGGCAAGACCTCGTCTCTACAATAAATTTTATTTTTTTGAGTTGGAGTCTCGCTCTGTAATCCAGGCTGGAGTGCAGTGGAATGCTCAAGGCCACTGCAGCCTCAACCTGCTGGGCTCAGGCGATCCTTCTGCCTCAGCCTCCCAAGTAGTTGGAACTATAGGTACAAACCACCACGTCCAACTTATTTTTTGATTTCTTATAGAGACGAGGTCTCACCAAGTTGCCCACGTTTGTCTCAAACCCCTGAGCTCAGGCAATACTCACCTCGACCTCCCAAAGTGCCGGGATTGCAGACTTGAGCCACCACACCCGGCCTTCTACAATAAGTTTTGGTTTTTTTTTTAATTAGCCAGGTGTAGCACGCCTCTTGTTCTAGCTATTTGGAAGGCTAAAGCAGGATTGCCTGAGCCCAGCATCAAGGCTGCAATAGCCATAAGCGTGCCAGTGCACTCCAGCATGGAAGACAGAGTGATCTCCAACTCAAAAAAAAAAAAAAATTCATCCTAGTTATCACAAGGATCACCACAGAGCATCAGATCATTAAAGTTTAACTTTGCAAGAGGAAAACTGAAAAGTATAAAAACACGGTATTGTCATGTGAAAGGATTGTAAAAAAGAAAGGACTTGTAAATCCTAAAAGAAAAGGATTGTAACGCCCATTATGGAGTTGATAAAAGTTAAATTTCAAAACGAGATGGTTGACAGATAACTGGTACAGAGGACAAGAGAGCAAACCTCTCAAAAAAAAATCCTACTTTAAATACCTGCACCTACTCAAATCACTTTCGAGGAGACAAGAGTCAGTGGCTCACAAATTTTGGACAGGGGAGATGTCATTTAACAAAAAACTTAAAATGAGAAAAAAGAACCCAAGAGGAGAAAGTAGTAAATAGGAAACTTATGTTACCTCCCCATCTCTCCCTTCAGTAAGACAACTAAGTATTTCTACATTTGGGTAAGTATATGGAAGAGTAATTACATGGAATGCCTTTCTACTTCAGTCATATCTAAGATCTTCGCAGTAAAATGTAAGTTCTTTTCACAAAGTCCATAAGTGGGCTTAAACATCTACGGATTCCAACTCCATCTCTTGCAAATCTATGTAAACTCTGTGTATGTGTATTTCTTTCTGTAAAGATATCTGAGCTCTTACTAAAAAGCTTCCAGAACTATCTTCAAAAGTCATACTGCTTCAGAATGAAAGATCTTGTCCATTCATTCTTACAAGAAATTCTAAAACATTAAAGTAAAAAAAAAGAATTCCTAGTTTATTACCTTTATACTTAGCAAAATAACATTTCATTTTAAATAAGCTCCCAAAATATGACTATTACTATGAGAAGCTACCCTAGTTATTGAAACTCTTGTTGTTCAACACTTACTTTAAAAATATAGAGCTGCCCACAGTATTTTAAATAAACAGTGATTGTGTGTGAGAAAAAGACTAAAGACCTTAATGCAGTAGAAAACGGAATGGTTAGAAAAAGGCTCTGCTGAACTTAATCACCAGTTGTTCTTAAACATCAAGTTTTCCTCTCAATTATTTAATCGTATTACTGCTTTTCTGTATAAGTTTTAGTTTGTGTTATGGACATCAAAGCCAAGAACTAATTTATTTAACTGGAATGCCTAACCAACAAAGTATCTACCATGAACAAGTTGTGTTAAAAAGTGAGTCACATTATATCCTCTATCTTGAGAACACTACACTAGCATTTAGCACCATGGGAGTTTAATGTGGCTTCAAGGTTTAATTGCTGAACCCACACCCAGCTCAAAAATATTAACTATAATAAATGTAAAGCTCTATACCATCTTCCTGAGATTACTTGACACCTCACAGAGAAGGATCAAAAACTTTCTGCCTCAACAGATGACATGCCTTTGCCGATGGATAAGAACGCCCTTCTCCAGCTTGAATACATTCCTGAATATCGCAACCAAAATACTCAATTTAAATTCTTTAAAATAATTGAGAAATAAGATATGTAAGTTTTTAGAAAAAGATAAATATGTAAGTCTAAACTAAGTGTGATAGAACGCTATGATACACCTAGAGTGAACACTAAACTCTGGCAGTGTCTGCTATACAGCATAAGACAACACATACACACACATAGAAGCCTGAAGTTCTCAAAATGAGAAAAAAAAATTATAGCACCTAACAGTTAGTAAATGCTTGTGTGCCAGGCACTGTGTTATATCCTTTGGATATATTCTTTGTTGAACTTCACAACTGCCCTGAGGTTTGATCTACCAATCATTCTCATTTTACATTTGTGAAATATTCCTAAAAAGAGAGAGAGAGAGAGAGAGAGAGAGAGATCTTAGAGGTAACGTAAGTTGTCCAAGTTCTACTAAGTGGCAGAATCAGGACTCTAAAACACAACAATGCCTGACCACAGAGCCTATACTTTGTAAAGACTTAGCATGTTGCCTACTAAAATAAGGAATCCACTAGAAAGCATAATTCTCACTGATGGTGGGCCAGTAGGATTAGCTCTTTTATTGTATATTATTACATATGCAGTAGGTACACAAGATAACTAACTGAAGGAAGCACATGCTCTATTGCAAAACAGGATAACTTCATGGTAAATGTGTAATCTGGCCCATGAAAAATAGATCAAATCTCTTAATGAGTGACGTGTAATATCAGAGAAAAGTAACCCCAAAAGGAACTGTTATACATAAAAGTTTTATTTTAAAATAATAACATGTGGTGAGCTGTGATCGTGCCACTGCATTCCAGCCTGGGTAACAGAGTGAGACCCCAACTCAAAAAATGAAAGAATAGCATGAACCCATGAATAAACAATCACTCAAGAGTTACCAGTGATAACGACATAGGCAATATAGTGAGACCTTGTCTCCACAAAAATTAAAAATTAGCCAGGTATATGCCTGCAGACCCAACTACTTGGGAGGCTGAGGCAGGAGCATCATTTGAACCCAGAAGTTGGAGGCTGTGGTGGGCCACAATCCTGCCACTGCACTCCAGTTTGGGAGACGGAGTGAGATCCTGAGTCAAACAAACAAACAAATAAAGGTATCAGTGATGAATACTAAAAATTACTTTACCCTTCAACTAAATGTTTAATCAAGTAAGAACACTGAAGGTGCATGTAACTTTTTTATTGAGGCACAACAAGGCATTGTAACTTGCCTGAATTTGAGGCAGTCAGTTTAGTAAGCTGAACGTTAATACAGTTAAGGATTAAGTGCAAACAATATACATTCACAGCTTGACTAGCAAGGTTACATCACAATTTATAAAGTGCCAGATTAGTGCTAATTGTCATTCAGTTTGATTTTTCACCTTGGGGAGGAAAACAAAAAAGTAAGGACCTCCTCCTTCCTCTAGGAATGAACACATTTTCTTAAACCAATTAGTCACCAGGGCAAGGACTACTTTTCCTTTAATTCCACTAATTAGAACACCATCCTTTTATTAGCAATTCTGTACTGACTCTCAATCCTGATAAAGAAGATAGCCTGAAAATGTAGAATATTTCCAACTACTTCCATAAATTGCTCCCCTGTGCAAACGTAACCATATCTGGTCTCCCTGGAAGAGCTGAAGAATTGCATGATTGCTAGCAGTTTCATGGTCTGGAGCACCATCATTGGCATAGGCTGATACCAAGACCTCTTCATTCTTCATGAGGTTGACATACAGTGGCACATTCACTGCCAGCTTTAGCATGTGAAAAATGAAAACATAAGTGCCATTCACTGGACAATTAAATCTACCAAGCTGAAGATCAAATGTTTCTCCTAAGTTGTTCAGAAGAAGGTCAAACACAATAGGTTGGTCTAAAGTTCCAGGGGCCAGATTAGAGGTTCTGGCTGCTGAAAAGGCAACTCGCATCTGCTGAGGCAGGGGATAGACGTGTACGGGCAGTATGGTGGCTGCTGGATTTGTCACTGGCACATCCACAGGGGTCATGCTGCGGGAGTCTCCTTGTCCAGAGTCACCACTGTTAAAGGTTTCGTTGTCTCTTTCTGGGCTGCTCACCTGAGAAGAATCACTCCACCCTGCTGTTTTATTAGCAACAGTGAGTTTCTCATAATGAAGCAGTTAGCTTTGAACACAATATTTAACATTAGTTGGCTACTGAAACAGATAGAGATACATTTTATAGTAAATTCCATAACAAAGCAATAAAGTATAGCTAGATTATACTTTTCTAGATTTTTTTAGTAATAGGTTTTTATAATACTATATTGAAGACAGAAGGGACCAAGAAAATCTTGTCTAATTGCTTCATTTTTCTCAATGTTAAGAAAATGTGGCCCCTAAAAGGTTGAATAACTTACTACAACTAGTTAAGGCTAGCGAAGCCTAAACCTCAGGTTTGACCACTTTGTACTTCTTTATCCCATAATTTACTTCTTTCTCCCCTAATTCTCACTCATTTAATTTCTCAGTAATCAATCTCCTATAAAGTAGTTACTGTAAAAGGACTCAAGAAAACTAAGAGTAAATAAAAGAACCAACTTTTAGAACTAATAACCACTAGTCATTCAGAGATATATTGATATAGTACTAAGCCCCACAAGGAATGCTTGTTTTTACTGCCTTAATGCAAGATCATAAAATTGTAATTATTTAAAGTGCCATTCAAAACACTACTCAGATATAAGGCAAAGGTAGTGTGAATATTGGCCATTTTCTCAAAAGAAAAAGACTGCTGCCCTATAACACAGTTAATTTTCAGTAAATTTTTTTATTTTCTCAGTTACACCAAATCTTTGACTAGTTCTTTCACATTTGAAAATGTGTTATGGCCAAGCGTGGTAGCTCAGCCTGTAATCCCAGCACTTTGGGAGGCCAAGGTGAGAGGATTGTCTGAGCCTGGGAGTTCAAGACCAGTCTGGACAACTTGGTGAGACCTTGTCTCCACAATAAATCACAAAAAACTAGCTGGGTGTGGTGGTGTGCATCGGTAGCTCCAGCTACTTGGAAGGCTGAGGCGTAAGTATCACCTAAGCCCAGCAGGTCGAGGCTGCAGTGACCAAGAGCGTGCCACTGCACTCCAGCCTGGGCAACAAAGAGTGAGACTCCAACTCAAAAAAAAAAAGAAAAGAAAATGTGTTATAAGTATCCTGCTTTTGTTTCAAGTAACTATGTCTTCATTGTTGCTTATTTGAGTCCATCAGTGTAGTGACACTGGAGTAAGTAGAAGAATCTGTTATTTCATCCTGAAACATGACATGAAACTATGTGAAGACAGCATAGTGAAAATATAAGGTTAAATTATGCTTTGAGGCCAAGCAGAAAAAACACACATTTCTAATTAAATTCACAATTGGTTTCCAGAGCCTTTCTCGTAGTCTAACATCTCCCTCAGTGCTTCAGTGCTGCACTTAAGCAAACTGAACACCTCAACAGGATAGACACTGAAAGCACCTCGGCCTCCCAAAGTGCTAGGATCCCAGGCTGAGCTACCACGCCTGGCCATAACACATTTTCAAATGTGAAAGAACATTAAGTTCTCTGTTGGGGAGAACTTAACAGAGGATGCAGAAAGGACTAGATGTATGTTTTGGGTAAATAAACTACTCAATTTCCCTTACCTCTTGAATTTGCTCGTGGACCACCAGATGTCCCTCCTCGCTTATAACACTGCTGGAAATTATCCTAAAATGAACACACAATGTTTACCTTAGTACCAACAATGCAGGACTATAATTAGTTATTACATAGAATCATTGGCTGGTAAATTATTAGTTCTTTTTCTACCTTCCTCAGCAGCCAAAGAGGCTCAAATGTTTCCAAACACCACAAAAACAAATAAAGCAAGGGCAACAGTGACAACTGTTGCTTCATCTGTTAATTAACCTGAAAAAGTAGATACATTAATACTTGCAAAAACAATCAAACACTTAACATTATGTACAAGACACAATGTTAGGTAATGAAGGAAATTTTAAAATGTGGCATGGTCCTCTGTGCATCTCAATATAAAAGGACATAATAAAATAAGAACACAGACTTTTTTCATCTTGCCCTATTTATAAACCAAACATGGAAGACTAATACAAACTATGTTGCAGTTTTTGTTTTCATTTTTGGAGAGATAAGAATGATATTATATAAATGCATTTATTACCTAGAAATGTGATCCAATATATTAAGAAAAAATATTCAAGAGGCAGCATCACCAAACTGACCCCCCCCCAAGTATGAAGGAAGCCAACCTCCACACAACCCATGGAAAGAATAATTTGTGATATAATTAAATTATTGTATGCAATAAAAAACTGAAACAGGACAAGAAGTTATACAATAAAAATAATAATTAAGTTTCCTACCCTATACTCTTAATCCCCTTAGCAATAGCAGTCAATGTTATCAATTTCTTGTTTCTCAGGAAGAAATTTAAAGCAGCATGCAAAAACACTGAAACTCTGGTATTAAGAACAGATAGTTCAGGTCAGGCGTGGTGGTTCATGCCTATAACTCCAGCATTTTGGAAGGCCGAGGTGAGAGGACTGCCTGAGCCCACAGGTTCGAGACTAGCCTGGGCAACTTGGCAAGATCTCATCTCTATAATAAACCAAAAAATTAGCCAGGCGTGGTGGCACGTGCCTGTAGTTCCAGCTACTTGGAAGGCTGAGGCAGAAGGATCACCTGAGCCCAGCAGGTGGAGGCTGCAGTGGCCGTGAGCATGCCACTGCACTCCAGCCTGGGCGACAGAATGAGACTTCAACTCGGAAAAAAAAAAGAACAAATTCCTCTATTACTGCAGCGCATAAAAATCAGCATCCTCCCCTCTCATACAGTCCCTGAGGATCATGTAGTAACAGCTATTATTTGCATGTGTGATACACATCTAGCACTGTGGTGCTAAGCACTCATGTGCATTATTAGTTCATTTAACTCTCAGAATGTCTCATGGAGAAATCATCACCAGCCCTTAGAGTTAGATGAGAAACTAACATATGAAGAACTAGGATCTCAGAAAATTTAAGCAACTTAGCCAAGGTCACAAGGCAAGATAATTGATGAAATTGGGGTCAAACCCAAGGTGTTTCAATTCCAGGGTGTGTTCTTCACCCTTTTCAATATGGCCTCTGTGTAGACATCCATTCTACCTCATAAGTATTTTATGTATTACCAACAGAACTCATTATGGTACCATGTACATACTCAAGGGCTTGTCAAACTCCAAAACAGAAAATGTCAATGTAGTATAAGTTTGCTAAAGTGGCATGTCTAACATCCGCCTACCAGTCTTCTATCACATGTAGTAAAGAAAATCTCCTGGGTCATTCAAATCAGAGAAAATAACTTATGAAAAGGGGCTTTGTTATATTTGATATGTGATATTTAAGCAAGCTAAATTGAAGGCAACATAGTAAAAAAGATCATGGGCTCTGTAGTTAAAATCAAGTTCCAATCTTAATTCTACCATTTCCTTGCTGGGTGACCTTAGACAAGTTATTTAACCTCTGAACCTCAGTTTCTCTTGTAAGGCAGAACAGTAAATTCGTTAATGCAAACAACATGATGAATAATGCTCTTAACAGCTTCTAAGTCCCATATAATCATTAGTCAGTATTTATCTGCCTTGGGTGACTGGAAAAGCTCCCAACTCAACTCTCCACAGGACTTACAAGTAGTTCCAAAACTAAGACCACATGTATACAAAACAAATGATGACTCTGCTATAGTTTAATCACCAGCTTAATACCACTATTCAACTATGACAACTATTCTTTCTTACCCTTTGAGAATAAGGTGTTCCAGAATACTCTCTAGCTTGAAACTGCAGCTGGCTATAATTTCCATTGGAAATTGAAGGAAGTCCTCTGTAAGTATCAAAACCTAATAAACAAACAAACAACTTACATAAAATTATAAGCAAAAATCATACCAAACTTTTAAATAGTTTAATTCTATATATCACCTTAAGAGTTAAATTGGAAAAAAAAAAGTTAAATTGATCCTATAATGCCATCATTAGATTTACGCCTTCTTTAAGCAAACTCTACTAATATTGCATCCACAGTAAAACATGCATTTATAAAATATTGCTGACTTCGAATAAGTCAGATTTAGCAATTTACCACTGCTGAAATGCAGGCAGAGGTTGAGAAAGGGTGATAGCATGGCAATTAGATACTTAAGGCCTCTTTCTAGTGTATTATTGCTAATACTAAGTAGTGACTAAAATACTTGAAATCTTAAGTAAGAATTAAGAGAATATCACTGTTAAAGTCTCAAAGTCTATGTTCTTTTCTGTGGTATAGTCTGATAGACAAATAACTAGAAAATGGGCATTGTGTAAGTATGACATACTTTAAGGAGAGTTAAGTCAACTAACAAAAGCAAGGCATTATTCAAATATGAAAATCAAATTTCATCCTTTGAAAACTAAGATGGTCAATCGTTCCACTTCAATAAGTCACAGAATCCATCTGCTTTTCATACAGAAAGTTACATACTCTGTTAGAGAATAGACACATTTAAAGTTTTACACTCTAAAAGGGAATTCTCTACTACATTATAAATGGCAAAGACAAAACAGAACAAGATTAGGTAAAAATGGGTTGAGTAAAGTAAATATATAGATAGAAAAATTCAGTGTAATTAAATTTTCTTTGGAGCATACCTTTATAACCTCCAGGGGACCGGTAGGAATTGGTTAGTAATCTCCCGCCACGAGAACACCCTCTCACGGATCCCCGGCTGTTGACAAATGGCTGAGTAGGTCTGGGAAATACATTCGTCTGTGCTGGGTAAAAGGCAAGGCTACCATTGCTTACTTGAATAGTTCCATCAGGATGATAATTTGCTGCTTAAGGAAACATTTTTAGAGTCCAAGAGTTAAATGGTAATAAAAGTTCAATACTCTTCATACTTAAAAGTTAACATATATCAAAACCTTCAGTACAATTTTCTCCCTTCTAGAATAAATATGAGAGACTGGGCATGGTGGCTCTTACTGTAATCCCAGCACTTTGTGAGGCCGAGATGAGAGGATGGCTTGTGCCCGGCAGTTCAAGACCAGCCTGGGCAACATAGTGAGATCCTGTCTCTACAAAAAAGCAAAAAAAATTAGCCAGGAGTTGTGGCACACATCTGTATCCCCAGCTATTCAGGAGGTTGATGCAGGAGGGTTGCTTGAGCCTAGGAGCTGGAGGCTGTGGTGAGCTATGATCGTGCCACTGCACTCCAGCCAGGGTGACAGACTGAGACTCCAACTCAAAAATAAACAAATAAATGATATGTAATCCATTATATATATGATTCACATATATGTAACAGAATATTATCCAGTCTGCAAAAGGACATTTTGACACATGTTAAACATGGATAAACTCTGAAGATATTATGCTAAGTGAAATAAGCCAGTTCCAAAAGGACAAATACTGCATGACACCACATATATGAAGTACTTAGGACAGTCAAATTCAGAGTCAGAAAGTAGAGTGGTGGTTGTCCTGAAGGGCTGAAGGGAGAAGAGAAAGAAGTTAGTGTTAAATGGTTGCTAAGTTCCAGCTGGGGAATATGAAAAATTTCTGGAGTTAGATGGCAACGGTAACTGCATAACAATTTAAATGGACTTAAGGTCACAGAACTGTACAGTAAAAATGGTGAAAGATAATTTTTGTAATATGTATACTTTACCACAACTTGTAAAAATAGGCTAAATACTCCAGATGAAAGAGTAAAAGAAAATAAGCTCAAATCAATACTGTAACTGAGAAAGCACATGATGAAAACATCCTTTATGTATACCACCTGCCCTTTCTTTCAACAGTGCAAGTACAAGATCAGGGCATTAGTGCCTAGGTCCAGGGGTTTGTTTACTGCCTCCTCATCATTTGACCAATGAAGAAAATACCCAGAATGCTCAATTTATTTGCTCAGGCTTAAGTTTCAGAAAACTCAATAGGGGTGTGAAATACCAACACTAAAAATCTGCAAGTACTTCTTTTTGTTATTTGAGTCAAGAGTTTCACCCTGTCATCCAAGCTTTAGTGCAGTGGCATCATCGCAGCTTGCCACAGCCTCAACTTCCTGGGCTCAGGCGATCCTTCCGTCTCAGCCTCCTGAGTAGCTGTGACAATATATAGTGCACGCCACCATGCTTGGCTAACTTTTTGTTTTTTTGTGGAGACAAGATTTTTCTATGTTGTCGATGCTGTCCTTGAACTCCTGAACTCAAGCAATCCTCCTGTCTCGGCATCCCAAAATGCGGGGATTGCAGGCATTGAGTCAACCATGCCCAGCCTGCAAGTGCTTCCTAAATTAAGAAATAAGTAAAAAATTTCCTATTCTTTCATTATTTAGAAGCATGAAAGATCAAAATAATCTCGCACCTCTAAGCGAACAGTATAGTAAGCAAAGAAATATCTTCACATTAATCAATATTTTATTATAAGAGGGAAGAAAAGACAGAAGAGTACAGATGACACTCTGTGTTGAAAGGGCAACAGAATGGCTTCAAAACCTTCATGTAAGCAGCTGGATATAGTGTCCATCTAACTCAATCACTGACTGTAATAATTAAAGTAATTAGATTTAAAAATATAAATCTACTTCATGGTTAAATCAGCCACCTAAGTTCTATTTCTACAAAAATTAAAATTAATAGGTAAACTTAACTAGAGGAAAAGGCATTAAGTGTTTCTCAATGCTTCAGGAAGAATTAGAAATAATGCTTACTAGTCAGGAAAGAATTTCTACAGTGTCACTATAGACTTGCTTTCAAATCATGTAGCTGTCATCTAAGTCTTCAAAATTTCACATGCAAAGTTCTTACCAGTCTCTTGAGAAAGGACAGTTTGCTCTACATGTATAGCTGGCAGTTGGCACTGGGGTGGTGTTTGTGTACTTGCTGTAGTGAAACTTTGATTGTAGCCAGGTGAATAAGGGGATTCTTTTATTTCTTGTTCTTTCCGTGGAGGCAAAGGTGCATTAACATTAAATACCTTAAAAGACAAGGACACAATGAATCATTTGTGAAGTTGCATAGAAAATACTAAAAGGTGGTATCCAGCAAAACTCTGCAATATTCAAAAACTCCTATTTGGTAGGCAAAGGACTTGAACAGACATTTCTTCAAAGAAGATAAATGGCCAATAAATACATGAAAACATGTTCAACAGCTAGGCACAGTGGATCATACCTATATTCCCAGCACTTTGAGAGACTGAGGCAGGAGGATCTCTTGAGGCCCGGGGTTTGAAACCAGCCTGGGCAACACAGCGAGACCCCATCACTACCAAAAACAAAACAAAAAACAAAAAAAGCATGCTCAACATCATTAGTCATTAGAAAAATGTAAATAAAAACCACACTGATATACCATTTCATACCCAGTAGACTGGTTATCAAAAAACAGAAAGTAAGTGTTGGCAAGGATGTAGAGAAATTGGAACCCTTGTGCATTGCTGGTGGGAATGTAAAATAATGCAGCCATCATTGTAGAAAACTGTATCTGGTTCTTCCAAAAGTTAAACACAGAATTACCATATGATCCACCAATCCCACTTCTAGGTATATACCCAAAAGAACTGAAAGCAAGGACCTGAATAGATATTTGTACACACTTGATCCTAGCAGCATTATCATAATCACCAAAAGGTAGTAACAGCCTAAGTATCCATCAACAGATGAATGAATAAACAAAATGAGGTACACACGTAAAACAGAATATTATTGAACCCTAAAAATGAAATTCTGCTACATGCTATAATATGAATGAACATCGAAAGCATGATGTCAAGTACAATAAGCTAGATGCAGAGGAATACATATTGTACGATTCCACTTATAGAGATTCCAGAACAGGGAATTCATAAGAGACAAAGCAGAATGGAGGTTTCCCAGGGGCTGGGAAGAGGGAGAGAAATAGGGAGCTATCGTTTAATGGGAGTTTCTGTTTGGGATAATTTTTAAAGTTCTGGAAATGGTGGTGGTTGCACATTGTGAATGCACTTAATGCCACTGAATTGTATACTTAAAAATGGCTAAAATAGTAAATTTTGTGTTACATATATTTGGCCACAGTAAAACAAAACTTCTACTTGATTACCGACAAAACTTATACCCAAGAGTAAACATTAATCTTCTATTATGTTAGCATAAATCCTTTTTCAAAAACTGAAGACAAATGAAATAATTTAGTATTTACAGAGTTTTTACCACGTGGCAGGGACTGGCCCGTCCAGACCCTGTCCAGACCCTGCCCGGAGCTCATAAGACAGCACTTCCAGTGCTCTCTAGCTTCTCATCCTGCTCCACCCTCCCTTGCAGCACCTGATATGTGAATATTTGTCTCTCAAGCCCTCTCACCTCCATTATAAAAGGTAAATTTCTTAAGCATACTTTTCTTTTTTTCACTGCTACAACCCCAGTGATTAAGAATAGTGTCTGGCTTCGTGATCACCTCTTTAGTAAATGAATGAATGAGAACCAGTCTGAACTGGGTAGCATTCAACAGGCAGAGAAGACAGACTGGCAAGAGCAAAAAGGTACTGTGACAAGAATGTACAAGGCAAGCTCAGGGGACTAGTCTGGCAGGTTATACCAGCCTTCAAAAGATACTGAGTGTCAGGCAAAGGACTCAATTTCACTGTGTAATGGATCACTGTGTGCTTTCAATCAGACAAAAGTAAAACCAATGTGACCATACTGTACAGGATGGACTGACAAGGAAAGAGTAAAAGCCAGGAAACTAAGATATGCTGTCTAGAACTAAGAAATTCTAAGTGATGAGGTTAGAATAAGCTGTCAACTCACCAGCCTATCTACATGCTCTGTTCCTGCTTTCCACTGCTACTCCACTGGCTCCACCCACTCCATCACTCCAAAGTACCTGGAATGGGACACTAAGCACCATCAGAAAAGGTACTTATTGGCTCACTAAGGTTTTGTTGTTGTTTTCCCTGAAGAACGGGTTTTTTGTTTGTTTGTTTGTTGGTTTTTTTTTTTTGAGTTGGAGTCTCACTCAATCGCCCAGACTGGAGTGCAGTGGCTGCTCCCAGCCACCGCAGCCTTGCCTGCTGGGCTCCAGCGATCCTTCCACCTCAGTCTTCCGAGTAGCTGGAATTACAGGCACGCGCTACCATGCCCAGCTGATTTTTTGATTTATTGTAGAGATGAGGTCTCGCTGCCCAGGCGGGTCTCGAACCCGCGGGCTCAGGCAATCCACTCACCTCAGCCTCCCAAAGGCGCGGGATTACAGGCTGAGCCACCGAGCCCAGCTTGAAGAACTGTTTTATACTAGTCTGTATTTGGAGAATAAACACAAAAATCTAGCTGTATTACCCCCCCAAAAAATTTTAACCTACCGTAGAATAATTTGTAATTCAAAACACCACACAAATCTGAACAAATCTTTAAAAGCCATCATGAGATCAGGAAGAAATCAAATGAAAGTTTCAACAGTGATAGAACACCCAAATGTGTGTCCTGTATTTCAGGCTATTGATAACTATGGAGCATCACTAGTATTGATATTAGTAACAGTTAATATTATTAAGCTGTTGCTAGAAAATTGTTTCTCACCTACACATTTTCTTTGTTTAATATGGGTCTTCAGCTTTGCCTTTACTAATTTCCAAAGAGGGAAAAATACTCTGACAAAACACCCACTCAAAATTCTAGAGGCTGTGGACTTAATATACTTCTGCCACAACAGTATTCCCTTGGACAAATGTAAATTCTACCAGCCCAAATAAGAGTTTTACAAAAGGCAAGTTTTTCAGAGTACCCAATAATATATGTAAGAGAAACAATGGCTTTTGACAGGAATAAGGAACTGCAGTCATTATTCACGTTTCATACTCACTGTCTGCATGGCTTGAAAGGGCGTTGTGTTAATGGTTACAGAACTACTACTTGCTGGAGGTGACTGGAAGCCCTGTTCAGAGCCCTTTGACATGGGAGGATTTGGAGAAGTTAGTGAAGACGGTTGCTTGCTTGGGGGAATTGCTGCCTGGGGAGGAGAAATGCAGCATCAGCCAATCACCTGCCATATAACAAGCAGTTAACTTACACTAAACCCCAAACTGGCACAAGTCAGCAAGTTCTTTAGGATGACATTTGGACACAGGAATGCAAAAGAATAGCTTTTGCTTACAATTTCAATACTCAACTGCTGAGGATGCACACCAGTATTTGCTTTGCACAGCTTGCTGACTAAGTGAAAGAGTCTTACCAATAACCAGTCTACAGATGAGGAGCTGAACTTTTTATGAACACCTAGTCCTTTCCAAGCCCTGAAATGGCATTTTCCACTTAAGGAACTATTAATATTCCAAATTTATACAGCAGAATCAGGCTTAAGAAAAACCTTGAGTTAGTTGCTTAGTAAGTGTTAATATTTCTCTATTTTAAAGAAGTATTAGTGGGTTTCTAAATCAGTTGCCTAAAAAAGAAAACATTCTGTTCTAACTTAAGTAATCCTATCTAAGTGAAGAACAGATTCTTGACATAACAGATTATAAATCCACAGGCTTTAAAAATTACCAAAAACCAATCTCAATCAGATTATGAAGCAGTTAGCTATGAGTCACCTGGTGACAATCATTTCTTCTTAAAATGAAGAACAAAGTAATATAAATTTAGACCAAGTCAGTACCAAAAAAACTAATGATTATATTTCTTTTTGTTGTTGCTGTTCCCTTTCCCCGAGCCCATGGATGTGTATACTGGGGAAGCGATGTGTGGAGAGAACAGTATGTTTGTGCTGTTGGATAATTAGTGGCTGCTTTTCTATTACATATTTTTCACACCCTTTAAGTTTACTCTATGTGCTTTTATTTTTTTTTATTTTTAATTTTGAAGATGTGGGGTACAATTCAGGGTTGGTATACAAATGTTCATTATGCAGATTAATTATATTTCTTATATTCCATATTGAATAAATATTCTTATATAATTACCACCCCAAAAATAAAATCTAACAGTTGCTAAATCACTCCCCCAACATTTATCATTTCCTACTATGTCTATCTCAAATATTTGCTCAAACTTAGCAAAAACTATAAAAACTAAAAACACAAAAATAATGTCAAAATACTTTTGACAAAGTTAACCAAAAAGAGATCATAACTCATTCCAACTGAGTCAGCGCTAATATTAATATTGTAAAGTTATTAAGTCTTCAGTTACATAAATAAGAGACTTTTCTAAGAAAGCCTTTTAGTGTAAATATAGTGAGAATCTAGACCTAATCCTACCTAAAACTTTTTACTCTTTTGATATTAAAAATGGACATTTATTGCATCAGATAAAGCAATTAAATCTACTTATATGGCAAGGTCACAATAACATTAAGTGTATAAATTCAAAGATCACACATCTGTAGAGAGCAATACATTAGTAAAATATAAATGTTATGTCATTCATTTGGTCATGCCTTCAATTCATAAGATAAGCTAGTTCTGCTACTCTTTAAGACAGAAAAGAAATGAAGACAATTGGTCTTTTATTACCTCAGGAGTCTCTGAGGTCATAAACTCTGTTTCAGATCCGGAAGAAGCCTGATCAGTAGTAACCAAGCAAGCATTTGAACTACAAGTAACTGGAGAAGCAGCCTAGACACAGGAAGATACAAAATATTGTAAAAAGCATATTTTGTTCCCTTTATTTCTTAGGCCCTGGGCTTTCTAGTATGTTACTCTCAATGAGCATTCACCAGTACCAGGCACTATGCTAAACATTTTATAGATATTAGCAGATTTAATCCTAACAATAATCCTGTGAAGCACGTACAATTATCCTCATTTTACTGACTATGAGGCAGAGGCAAAGAAAGGTTAAGTAATTTGCCCAAGATCACACTAGAAGTGTGATCTTAAGTGGCAGAGCTGAGCTTCAAACCCAAGGAGGCTGCTACACTGCCTTTCCAGGTCCAGTCATCAAAACTATACCTCCAATCCATCTTCACTTATTCTTGGCCCTGGAAATTTGGGGCCACATTTTCAGTCTGGCACTAGGTGGCATTCACTTATCTCTATGTGCTTTTTTTTTTTTAATTTTTAATTTTGATAGGCACAGCTCTGCCAAAGATCGTAACTATGCTTTTACTCCAAGTGCTACCAGTATCTTAAAGAGGTTAGGTTGAGATATAAATAGGAAAGATAATCTCTACATAAATAAAAATGGCATCAAAATCCTAGTAATAAATTAAAGTTGATTGTATATATAAAATAAAATTTGGGAGAAAGCACAGTAGGAACAAAATTTATGACAACTGTAATCAATAAAAAACTAAAAACAGAGGCTAGGAAAGAATTCTACAGCATGGCAGGTATTAGAACCTAACAGAGAGACACCCATAAAAATCTAGCAATAGCAAAGTCCAAAGTGGTAATGAATACACTCCTTTTATCTAACTGCTTCTATGTGGTTCTCAGAAGTCCAAGCAATAAAATAGGTAAGTTGGAAATTAATGAGTGGTAGCCAAACATCAGAAAAGTTATGTTTGAGTGACTTCCTTGAAGCTACCACAACATGCTGCTTCTTATAGAGTGAGGATCTTTTTAAAAGATCTTATGGGAATATTTTTTCAAAATCCTTTAGAACATTTGATATACCTAAATAAATAGGCATACTTTAGATCTGGCCAAAATATCAGAGCTATTATGAGATTAGAGTGTTTCTTCTGACTCTGTCGTTAAAATGAGACAACTGCCCGACAAAAGTGGGACTGGCTGTTGGTGGGGGGACATAACTGACTATTGCCAAGGAAAGACTCACAGATGCCAAGTCAAGCCAGCTTAGGCCACCTGATAGTCTTTAAAAGACTGAAATTTTAGTTAAAAGGTCCACTTACTAAAAAAGATAAAGACAAATGTATTTACATTAGTATTCATTTAGAAGTTATGGCAGCTCTTGCTTCCAAATTATTGCTCTTTCATTAGACCAACTGGAGTATTGGTGAATAAACATAAAACTTGAAACCAGTGTTTCAAAAATAGGTATGCAGATACACCCAGGGAGTTTTTTAAAAATATAGATAATACCCTGGAAATTCTGCTCAAGTAAGTCTAAGGTAATACCTAGAAATATATATTTTGTTAAAGTGGCCAGAGAATTCTGATGCTGTCATCCCACAGGCCTGTACCAGAGAACTACTAAACTAGACCGGTGGCTTTTCAAAACACATTAACTTGTCAACTGAAAGTCATATGTAGATCATTTGAGCCCAGGAGTTCAAGACCAGCTTGGGCAACATAGCAAGACCCTGTCTCAAATTAAAAATGTTTTTTTTAATTTTTAAAATTAAAAACAGCTAGAACAGATAAAATGGAACTGTTTTAGTTAAAGTAGTAAGTAGATTAGGAGAAAGTAGAGGGAAAAAACCCACCAATAGGCCAGGCGCAGTGGCTCAAGCCTGTAATCCCAGCACTTTGGGAGACCAACGCGAGAGGATTGCCTGAGCCCAGCCTGGTCAAGACCTCGTTTCTACAATAAATCAAAAAAATTAGCTGGATGTGGTAGCACGCGCCTGTAGTTCCAGCTAACTGGAAGGCTGAAGTGGAAGAATCCCCTGAGCCCAGTAGATAGAGGCTGAGGAGGCTGTGAATATGCCATTGCACTCCAGCATGGGTGACAGAATGAGATGAGACTCCAACTCAAAAATAAATAAATAAATAAAGCCCACCAATATACCCTGCTCAACAAATACAGTTTGCCAATTGAGCTACACCTCACCAAACTATACATAAGCCACCGTAAACAAATGATACTTAGAATGATATTTTTAGAAGAAAAGGCTACAACTGTTGAACAAACTTGTCAAAATATTTAATTGTCAAAGCAGTTACTGACAAGAAAACTACCATAAGGTTTTCAGAGAGACACTGAGAAATGTTTTGTAAAGGTAATGACCAGAAAACAAACGAACCTTGGGCTTACTGCTGATGAAAATGCAACTGGTATTTAGAGAACTCAATGACCTGGTCCTTTCGTATCTCTAAGTACATTCTGTGAAAATTAGTTCCTCAGAATGTTAACTATTGTGTAGAGAGAAACTGGGTAGCCATGCATTACACAAAATTAATTCCTTTCTTCAGACCTTTAACTATGCTGACATATTGACTTATGTAGCTCAATAGAAAAATAATATTCTTGGACAAGGTACCTCTGAAATCTTCAGGTTTGCTCTTTCTTTGCTAAAGTCAGTATATTACAATAGATGTTTTCAGTACAGTCATCAGGGAATCTTTTTTAGGACAAGCTGTACTTGATCTAAAAAAACTAAATATTCTTAGAACACTTTCAATAATTTAGTTAGGTACATTAAAATCCATAAGTCTGATCATTTTTCCCAAAGCAAGAGGTTCTTCCGTGAGTAGCAAAGAATAAATCAAAGTTTAAACTGGAGAAGTTACCTGTAGCGGCTCTTGAAGAAAATCACTTTGACTGGATAGATTTTGTTCTGTAGATGCTATAGAGAGTAAAATAAACAGTAAACTGTTGAGGGAGGAGAAAAGTTTATACATATCAATTGGAAGGAAACTACAGTTTACACTTTACTAAAAAAAGTATTAAGTGGAAGGACTAGTTCTCAATTCCATCATGCACTTTCTATTACATCTTTAAAAAGAAAAAATTGTAGAACACAAAATACTAGTTCCATTTGTGATGTTTTAAGGTTAAATGAACAAAAGTAACATTTGAAGACCTTCAAAAGAAAAGAACTATGACGTCTTAAAATATCTGATAATAGTAATCTGGAAGATAAGATCTTAGCTATCATGGATAGTAATTAACTCAGATTTCAAGTTTCGCAAATTTCAAGTTTCACAAATTTCAAAGTAAATCTTAGCTGGGTCATCTATTTAGTTTTTTCTTCTAGCTCTGACATGAATATTAATATGTTTTGCAATTATGTCATTTTCAGCATTGTTTTCTCTTGTTAATATCCATCATTTTTGTTAGTTACTCTCCATATACTCTTCTTACTCCACCCAGAAATCACTACACCAATCTCCTAGCTAGTGCATCTAGCTCACTACAGCTGGACTATGGCCTTATTCCACTCCTTGCCTAAAAGAAACTAGTGTGAAGCAAAAGCCTAGGCTATGGACCATCAGACCCAATTCACAGGTAGCCTCCATCATTAGTTACTGTGTGAATTACTTTTCTCCACCATCACTGAGGCAATCTCATAGTTAGGGTCCAAAAGCCTCAACACTAGATGTAGAGGCCCAAGGAGTCAATCAAGTGCTAGTCAGAATTTACTCCAAAAACAACACAAAAAATTACAAAAACAGTTATTGGACATTTCCATTCACCCATCCAGAGGCTTTCGTCAAAAAGCACAAATAGCTCAGTTAAGTACACTAATGTCCTACTGGTAATCTACTCACAGCTTTGATAATGAATGGAGACAGAATAAATTATCACACAAACATAGTTTAACTCTTAAGACACCCAGGGTAAAATCATTTGTTAAAAACAAGCAAACAAACAAATTTTAAAAACAATTGTTAGCTCTAAATGTGTCTGCCCTAAGTCTTTAGAATGATTACATACCTACTGGGCTACCTGGAGCAGCTAAAGGCGGTTGTGACGATGGAATTGCACTTGAAGGTTTGTCAAAATCCAGAACTGACTCCTAAAGATAAGATTTTAAATAATGAGTAGAAACAAAGATTATTCATTGATAAGTTATTACCAATTATTCATGATGCTGCCTACAGTTCATCAGCTAAAGATATCTAGCTAATAACTACCTTAAAATGTGAAAAACTTGAACTTTATAGGAAAAGAAATCGTTAAAAATCTACAGTAACTGCCAAACCTTAAGGCTGTGTCAAGCATTAAAACTACAATAGTAATTCTAAGGTCTAATGTGGAAATAAACTCCACACCTGAAAAGTTAAACATAACCATTAATCCTACCCTAATTTGAACCCTCATTTTTATGATACCTAACCAATGAGAATGTCTGTGTTATCTCAACCACTTACTAGCTCATGCTGTTAAAACACATTCATGATGAGAAACCATTCTCTATTTGCTTATCTTGAGTCTTCCAGCAAAAATTCCAACATTTTGCATATTTAAGCTACATGCTAGCAGTGAGCATTTTAATTCTTTCTTTTATCATCAAATGATCTGAAAGGGTAGGCAATTCCTTCAATTTTTAAATAGGTAGAGGGTCAGAGGCAAAATAGCTGGTAAGAGATAGGACTAGGACTTAAGCCCAGGCCTACATACAAAGTTCAAGTTCTTTTTACTAAATAAAAATATTTTATTTGACTTCAACCCTTAGTAATACCATATTAATCTTGAAATCTGTTAAGAGTCTGTATCGCAAAATTTAATTAAGCATTATATCACACAATTTAGCATTTAACTATTGATTAAACACAAGTTTATAATCTTCTACAACTGAAACATAAATTCCTTGACGGTAACAAATGTCTTATTTCCTATACAAAATGGTGCCTAACAGAACACCAAGCATAGAGCAGGTTCTCACAGTCCTAGTGAAAACCACTGATGATCTATAGCAATAATAATACTTGAACAACGTAACCTTTTTACACGTTTAATTTTTTTAATTCATAACAAACTTAGGAAATAGGAACTATTATCCTCATTTGTCAAATAAAGAAACTGAGGCAGACAGTCAAGTTATTTGCCTAAACCCTCAGAGCCAGCAAAGAGCAGAATCAGGATTTGGACCCCTTCTGGACAGCAGAATCTATACTCTTAACAATTTCACTGTAATGCTTCAGATCAGAAGCCTCATGAATACCATTTAAGATTCTTTTTAAAAATGACTCATACTTGCATAAAGTTACAAGTTCCTTGAATCTGAGTCATCAGATCCTGCAGTTTTTCTTTCCTCAATACTGGATCCTTCGGAAGGGTAGAGGAAGAACCTACAGCTTGATGCATAGGTTTAGGCACCTACAAGATAAATCCACAATGTGTAAACGTGAAATTCAAATTCAGTAGCCTAATCCAGGACATACAGCCCATCGTTACATCTTACAGAAATCGAAACAATTTTCACTATCAAATTTATCACAAGTCAATAAGTTCCTCACAAATATACCTTCTAAATAATACAAGCAAACTTTAAATAGCATTTCCCCTTCACAACTTAATGAAACTCTTTCTAAAACATAAAACATATCCTTTTTAAATGGAAGATCCAGAATAACAAAACTTCCTTGTTAAGAGTTACTTTATTACAGACATCAGTTACCATATGTCCTCTATGATAAGATGATACTGACTATGAGACACAGCCAAGATTTATTTTTTCCAGGGCAAAAATTATTACTACTACCATATTAAATACACATCCCATTTTTAATATGGATCTGATTTCAGAAATCAATATGTAAATACATATGAAAATACACAAACACACATCCTACAATTGAGGGAATACATTATATTTTATTATAAAGTACACACGATCTTGAGGTTACTGATATCCATAAGGTGGTTAGCCCTCATGCTAAGGAACTTAAAACCTCTGCGGATACTAAATTAGACCAATTTACAGTTTACAGATCCTCTTCTTCACCTAAGTCACCAAGAAGTCTAACAGCTAAGCTTGTCAAAGGTACCAGAAAAGAGTTAACAGACCCTAAGAGAATGTACAAAGTGCTTTTTTAGGAGAAAAGTATGAGCATTAGTGATTAATTTCATGTTATCTAGTCTTTTGACTTTGGATTCTATTTTGCACTTGACCATACTTAGTCATGCCACTGAGATTGTAAAACAGACAGACAAATACGGTATTACACATAGAACTGTCTTCTCAGTCACTGAAAAATTCTACAACTTCAATATAATGTTGTCTGTGCCACAAAAGCAAATTAAAATGAGTTTTGACCTTTCCAACTAAGCAACCCTGATTTCAAATCCTGTTCAACAAATAGCATATCAATATTCTGGCATGGTAAAGGTTCAGCATTGCTGTACTTAGTGGAATTTTAAAGCAGGTTTTTAAAAAAAAGTTTTATTAAGGTACTAAATTGGGTATTTAAATATAAGTTTGTCGACTGGGCACAGTGCCTCATGCCTGTAACTGCAGCATTTTGGGAAGCTGAGGCAGAGGATTACCTAAGGCAAAGAGTTTGAGACCAGTTCAGGCAACACAGAAAGACCCCATCTACAAAAAAACATTTTTTCAAATTAACCAGTAGGGGAGCATGTACCTATAGTCCTATCTACAAAGGAGGCTGAGGTGGGAGGACTGCTTGAGCCCACTAGTTGGAGGCTGCAGTGAGTTATTATTGCACCACTGTACTCCTCCCTCAGTGACAAAGCAAGACCCTGTCTCTAAAAATAAATAAATAGTTCCCAAAAGTTATATTACAACTACTCTTGTGTCATATCTGATTAACAAAATAAGTCTATAAATATATAGGGTCGGCTGGGCTTGGTGGTTCAGCTTATAATCCCGTGCTTTGGGAGGCCGAGGTGAGTGAACTGCCTGAGCCTGCGGGTTTGAGACCCACCTGGGCAACTTGGTGAGACCTCATCTCTACAATAAATTAAAAAAAAAAATTAGCCAGGTGTGGTAGCACGTGCCTGTAATTCCAGCTACTCGGAAGGCTGAGGAGGAAGGATGGCCAGAGCCCAGCAGGTCGAGGCTGCAGTGGCCGAAAGCGGCCACGTCACTCCAGTCTGGGAGACTTCAACTCAAAAAAAAAAAAAAAAAAATCCATAGGGTCAATACAAAACTAAAATTAATATTAGCACTTGAACAGAGGAAAGGAAAACAAAAGACAACTCTAAAAATCTCTTCTCATAAGGTAGAACTGAGCTAAGAGTAATGTATAAAATACACATTTACTTTGCTCCCCCAAAGTAAAATGTTTTCCACACTATTAAAGAACCATCTAATAGTCATAGTAAACTTCCTTGCATTTCTGTGCCATTTTAGCCAGAAGGTCTTTGGCTAAAATGGCACAGAAGTGCAAGAAAGTTACTATGCAGAGATGAAGAACATTGAGAGGATGAGTTCACATTTCTTAGCAAACAAGGTGGTCACAAGTGTACACTATAAATTGTAGTAAATAAGCAATGTCTAATTTAGCAATACAGCAGAGCACTGTATCCAAGGATTATTCATTACAACCCTACTTCCTGAAATAGGTTATTTATCATTATCAGAATGTGGTCTTATTTTTTAACTAAAGCCCATACGCCAAAACCTAACTACAAAATATTTAATGTCAGCCGGGCTCAGAGGCTCAGCCTATAATCCCGCGTCTTGGGAGGCTGAGTGAGTGGATTGCCTGAGCCCGCGGGTTTGAGACCCGCCTGGGCAACTTGGCCAGACCTCATCTCTACAATAAATCAAAAATTAGCCAGGCGTGGTAGCGCATGCCTGTAGTTCCAGCTACTTGGAAGGCTGAGGCAGAAGGATCGCCGGAGCCCAGCAGGTCGAGGCTGCGGTGGCCGGGAACGGCCACTGCACTCCAGTCTGGGCGACAGAGTGAGATTCCAACTCAAAAAAAAAAAAAAAATTTTAATGTCTATAGCTTTTTATCTCTAGAAAATTCTTGTTTTGGAATGGCAATAGAGAACTAATTCAAATCCTCTCCCAACTACTGGAATATCTACAACTACCCTGTACTTTCTTGTATGAACTGTCCACCATTTTTATGTGATACCATGTCGCTAAAATTTTGGCATTAAAACAACATTTTTTTTTTTGAGTCAGAATCACACTCTGTCGCCCAGTCTAGAGTATAGTTACATGATCATGGCTTCTGTAGCCTTGATCTTCTGAACTCAGACAATCCTTCCACCTCAGTCTTCCAAGTAGCCGGAACTACAGGCGCGTGCCACCATGCCCAGCTAATTTTTTTTTTAACTTATTGTAGAGAGCCAAGTTGCCCAGGCTGGTCTCGAACCCCTGGATTCAGGCAATCCTCTCACCCCAACCAAAGAGCTGGGATACAGGCGTGAGCCACTGTGCCAAGCAAAACAACATTTTCTAATTGTAGAAACGCCATCTCAGGCTAGGCTCAAAAACAAACTAACTTCCAATTTTCTAGAGAAAACAACAAATCTACCCACTAAAGAGTTAAGTGAAATATTGTATACATTAATTTAACATGGGTTTTGTTGTTTTCAACAGAAAACTAAAAAGTCATTACTACAATTCCGTATTTATGCCTACATTGACAGACGCAGACTGATAGATATCAACTCACATCTTTGGGCTCTGAATTAAACTTCCTGGGCAGGAGCTGGTCATTTGGTATGAGGCTTGTTGTAGCTACTCCCCAGGACTTTGGAGAAATCTGTGACTGTGATGTTAAAGAGTGTTTTTGATTCTCAATATTGTTTTCCCAGGATTTTGGAGTCTCTGGCTGTTTTGAATCCTCTTCTTCACACATGGGAGTGGTCCAAGACTTGGTGATGTTCTGTTCCTTCTGCATAGAAGGTATCCAAGACTTTGGCGTTTGCTTCTTTGGATCCTGTTCTTTCTGCAGCTGAACTGGCCAAAGCTTTGGTGTCTCCTGTTTCTTCTGTTCCTCATGAGTGTATCCTACTTTAGATTTAGGAGTTTCTTGCTTCCATTGGTTAGGAGGTGGCTTGGATTTGGAAATGTCCTGCTGCTTCTGCTCTTCTGGCAGAGTAGACCTGAGTTTTGAAATTTCTTGTTTCCTCTGTTCTAAGGAAACTGTAGGTTTTGATACCTCCTGGTGCTTACCAGGAGACTCCCAGGACTTAAAGGATTCTTGTTTCTTCTCCTGACCATCTGGTTTAGTAAGCACATCCCAACATTTGGAGAGATTTGGCTTTCTAGCATAATCTGCTTCCCAAGATTGCTCTTCATCTTGTTTGTCTGAATAATCTACTTCCGTCATATAGCGTCTGTTAAGAAACTAAATCAGAAAAACAATGTGCTTAAGTTACAAGATTCACAGAAGACTGTGAAGGGCATATTCAACTTTATTAGTGTTCCTAAGCCTCCTTGTCTAAGGTACTGTGCTAACATGAAACTTCTGTCCTGATGCTGCTTGATAAGACTGTCCTAGGCCAGGCGCGGTGGCTCACACCCGTAATCCCAGCACTTTGGCAGAGGCGTGATGGTTGCCTGAGTCCAGGGATTCGAGACCAGCCTGGGCAATTTGGTGAGACTTTGTCTCTACAATTAATTGAAAAATTAGACGGGCATGGTGGCATATCCCTGTAGTTCCAGCTACTTGGAAGGCTGAAGTGGAAGGATCACCTGAGCCCAGCAGGTCAAGACTGCAGTGGCCTTGAGCATGCCACTGCACTCCAGCCTGGGCTACACAGTGAGACCCCAACGAAAATAAACACACAAACAGACAAGACTGTCCTATATCATTGTCCATTCCATTTTCCTCAGTTAACAAAAATGTAAACTTTGATACTTCAAAAGTAGCAATTTCTGTTTGACTCACCTAACAATGGCAAGAACTGCATATCATGGTACCAGATTTGCTTGATTCAGGCTTTTTTTTACCAAGACTCTTCTACCTTGCCAGACTTAGAATCCTAGTTCCCATCAACAACACAAAGTTAAACTGTGTGAGTTTACCCTTATATTTCCTAAATTACCAGTCTTCTCTTTAGTCCCTCATGTAACATAATGTAAAAAGTTTTGCATCTCCCATTCTTTTTAACTTCCATGAATTTCATGGAATTCAATTAACTTCAAGGTCACTCAGAAAGAGAACAGATACACTTTCTGCTATCAATGTGAGTAAATCCTGAAGACAGCAAAATCCTGCACATCTTTAAATTTTAGCACAGGAGCCAAAAACACCTAATACTTGGGCACTTATTGTGTACCATGCCAAATTCTAAGTAATTTACAAATTGGATTAGCCTCTTTAGGCCTCACAAAACCCTCATGAGGTACTCATTATTATTATTATCCCCATTTTATAAATGAGGATAACAGACACAGCTGGGCTAGATATCATGCCCAAAGTCACTAAGCTAGTAAGCTGTAGAACCAGGGCTCCAGCTCAAGCAGTCTGGCTCTAGAGCCTCGGCTTCTCACCACACCCTGCACAAAAGTCTGAAAAATCAACATCAGCAAATTACCTTTCAGTATCTTACCTCTTGTGGTTGTATCTCTGGCTGTGCAAGCTCCATAAGACACTCTGGGAAGATAAAAATAATTTAAATAAATACTAGTTAAACTAAGTTTTTAGACAGATCACAACTACAACTCATTCCAGTGACATAGTCCAAAAGACCCATAAGAGTAACAGAAAAAGTACAATTAAGTATACTGATGGCAAGAGTAATTCTAACTATTGCTTGCTGGTCAAAAGCATATGGTCTGAGGCTAGCTAAAGCTAGTAGCTCTTCTTATTTAAGACACAATGAAAATCAAGTTTTAGTTAAAAACTCATTTCTGATTGAAAATAAGACTATCTCCTCTTACCCACAAACACAGCTTTTTTCAGGTTAAAATTACAGCTCAAGTCCCATGGGATAAAAAAATTAGTAATCTCAGCTTACAAACTACTTACAAGCCCCTTTAAGGCTAGGAGGGGGTAAGAAAGTGAAGATACTGAAGCACCAGAGTTAGTAGTAAGAAGTAAAAAAAATAAACATGGAAAGCAATATGACTCCTGCTTGTGGCTACCAGAACCCTGCCTGGACTACCTCTTTCAAAGAGGTATTTCTTTAATAAATTCAACTTCAGAAAACAAAAGTGACATTTGCTCAAAATATTTCTTCCCCAAGAAAATGGTAATTTGAAAAGTATATTTCCTTTACTAATTTTCACAATTTTTTCCCTGAATCAAGATTTTAATCTTATTTACATTCTCATTCTACTAGTATTGGATTCTACTATAACTTACATTTTAAACAACAGTTTTAAACAGAATTATCCTACTAGTCGTTTAACAGAGGCGTTCATTCAAATTCCATAAATGTCTCATTTTAACCAATGTACTGTCTACAAAAGGTCACTCTGTAAATCACAGCAATAAAGTCTAGAGATGTTTTAGAAACCTAGGCTTATCCTGTAATAAAAATGTCCGTGCATGTTTCTAACAAATTAAAATAAGGCAATCATTGCACAATATTTGATTCACTTTGGGTGTTAAAATGTTAAAATGTGCAACAACTATAAAGAATTTCAGAGATCATAACAAACCTGACTCTTTGACAGATTCCGTCTTCAAAAATTGTTTTTTCTTCTCTGATTGTATTAGCATTTCTTCCTCCACTGGTGCTTCTTTTTCCCTGGCAGTTTTGGGAACTGGGATACTTTCAAAATAGCCTGAGTTCAGCAATTTAGACAGTAGATCTTTCAAGTGTTTGTCTAAGAAAGAGTGATTAAGACAGTTATCACATAACCTGATAGTTCACCGAAAATTACTAGGAAAAGAAATCCTAATTTTATCCTAGTTATAGTATGTCATTACAATAGTTTACATTTTGGTGACTGAAGAACTTGTCAGTTCTTCTTGTCAGACCATGAAAAGTAAACATGCAGTCCATCTTTATTTTATGCAGAATCAATATAAATTTTAAAGATCAGAATCTCACAGTTCAGTAAGTCACTCAAGTTTCACTGGACCTCCATTTTCACCATTCGAAATATAACTAAAATTCAGAGACTCCAATCAAAGACTCTAATGTCACAAAAACACACATCTATTTCCTGAGCTGAGAAACAAGTCATTCTTCCCATCTACTCTCAAGACATTACAACTAGCAACTACTCAATCTTCCTCCAAGTAATGAAGGCATTAAAGAAGGAAAAGACTGTTCCTCAAACATAACCCTATCTACTATATAGGGTTTTCTAGTAGATAGGGTTTGAAAGTTCTATCTTGGAAATCTCTATTAGATTAATAACTAATACTACTTTATTACAAAATCCTATCTGGGACAATCTCTGAAATATCTTTAAGGTACAAAATTCATGATTAAAATTTTATTCTTCTTATGCTTGTAAGCCCAGTGATTTGGGAGGCTGAGGTGGAAGGATCACTTGAGGCCAAGAGTTCAAAACCACCCTGGGCAATATAATGAGATTCCCGTCTCCAAAAACTTAAAAAAATAAATAAAATTTTAGCCAGGTATGGTGGTGTGTGCTATGTATTCCCAGCTACATAGAAGGCTGAAGTGGGAAGAAAGCTTGAGCCCAAGAGTTGGAGGCTGCAGTGAGCCATGATTATGCCACTGCACTCCAGTCTGGGTGACAGGGCGAGACCCCAACTCAAAAAAAAAAAAGTTATACTCAAGCTATCCTATAAGTCACTCCTATCACACAATGATTTAATGATCAAGAAAAATCTTAAAATGATGTTAAAGTCACTAAACTACAAACAGATCTAGTCATCTTAAGTATCTACTAAAAACATAATTCCCAAACTAAGCAGATTTCCATACTTGATTTGAGTCTATTATTCCTTTCATAGGATTACCATGACATAGATCGTCTTCTCTTAAAATCTGCTTTCAAGCATAATTTGCAAACAAAATTCACCTATTTTAAGTGTACGGTTTTACAGATATGTAGTCATGTAACCACCAGAACCATGAAAGAGCATTTCATCAACCCCAAAAGTTACTTCATGCTCCTTTTGCAATTAACCCTCTCCCCTGACCTCCTGGCAATTGGAAACCTGCTATCATTCTAGTTATGTCCTTTCTAGAGTTTCATATAAATAAAATCACACAACATGTACTCATTTTATGTCTGGCTTCTTTCACTCAGCATAATTATTTTGAGATTCATCCATGTTGTTGCATGTATCAATAGTTCATTCCTTTTTTTTTTTTTTGAGTTGGAGTCTCACTCTGTCGCCCAGACTGGAGTGCAGCGGCCGCTCCCAGCCACGGCAGCCTCGACCTGCAGGGCTCCGGCAATCCTTCCACCTCAGACTTCCGAGTAGCTGGAACTACAGGCGCGCGCTACCACACCCGGTTAATTTTTGATTTATTGTAGAGATGAGGTCTCGCCAAGTTGCCCAGGCGGGTTTCAAACCCGCGGGCTCAGGCAATCCACTCACCTTGGCCTCCCAAAGTACTGGGTTACAGGCTGAGTCACCGAGCCCAGCCTCATTCCTTTTTTTATTGATGAGTAGAAGCAACTGTATGGACACATCATATTTTGTTTATCAATTTATCAGTTGAATAAAGTTAGTATGAACATTCACCTATAAGTACAATACACATTTTCATTTATCTTAGGTACTAGAAGTGTAATTGCTTGATTGTATGGTAAGTGTACGCTTCATTGTTAAGAAATTGCCGAACTATTTTCTAAACTAATTTAGTATCATTTTGCATTCTAACCAGGAAATAAATGTTTAATTGTGACTTAAACTTGAACAAACTTAGAAATCTTGAGATAGTTCCAGATACTTGGAAAATTTTTAAAAAGCAAGCAATCACTGGTAACAAAAATGTTTACTATCCTCTAGTGAGTTTTCATTATTCCAAGCTAGTACATAAAGCTATGTACTTCATGTCCAGCCATTTATACTTGGTCATTTGGTCAAAGGCTATTTAGGAAGCCAAAAGGACTCTCTCTCCAGGTCATTTTCAAATCAACAAATGACAATGTTTCAACAGACTCTGAAGTCAAACTCCTCATATTCTCTTAGGCTGCTCTGGTAACTGAGCTTTGATACCACACTGTGTAGATTTAAGATTCCTATATAGAACAGGTATTACCATGCAGAATAGAGAAATGAACCCCAAAATGATCAAGCTAGTATTGAAGCCAGCACTAGTACTTAGCTCTGTTCCCAAATCATACTGACTTTCCACTTCAAAACTTTCCCTAAATTCAATTTTGGAAACTAGGATTATACAATAGCTGCTTTTAACAGAGCTAAACAGAGGGATCATTCTCCCAATGAATATAGTATTGTCAGACATGTAAGTTCTGATGGACTGACACAGTTTTAGACCCTCAATATCATACTAAACTTCTAGACATAAAGTTTAGTATTTACTGCATAAGTCCAGAATAGAGAAAACTCACATGTCGTTCCTACCACTGCTTTCTCACTACCTTCCAAAAGGTCCCAAAAGTACAAGGATGACTGCTCCATCTGGTCTTCAACACTGACAAGGAAAAGCAGCAGCAGAACAAAGTGGCTTTAGAAGTACATCTACATATATGGAGCAGTACAATGTATGCAATATAACCCAATAACAATCAAGACATTCAAATGTTCATTCTCTTTTTACCTTCTGGAAATAAAAAAATTGAAATTTATACACAGTGACTAAAATACCTATTTGTAGATTTTAAATGTACAACTTTTTCCTTAAAACAACTAAAATAAGAATTTTATCAAATATTATTAAAGAATAAACCAAAAAGAGTTTAAAGCTGCCAGCGCAGTATCATTCGTTATCAAGTATATGCTCTAGATGGAAAAACAGTCGAGTGGAAACATAAGAGCTGCATTTGACTTTAATTTAAAGAGAGCAGCTTCTTTTGTAAAATATGCTTTGCTTACACTTCATATATTAAAGCTACATTCCCTGAACCCACAAAAGTGAAGTAGGAGAAGGAAGCAACTATAAAAGTAATAATGAGGGAGTAGACTATCAGCAGAGAAATACAATGACATATAGCTATTTACAGGCAACTAAAAGTTTTATTAGGCTTCTTCCTATCAGAGGTTGATTTCTAATAATGGTTGAAATCTGACTCTATTTTAGCATGGCCAACAGACACAAAGTTGGAACAACCTGTATCTAGCAAGCAAAGGCACAGGCATCTGTCTCTTAGCTGATTCATATCATCAAAACAAAATAGCAAGTGGGCAGCTATAAGGGGAAAAAACTGGATAGCCTCAATTTGCAAGTTTTCTATTTTAAATTATCAAATGTATTTCTCAGTAGTTACTGCATAATAAGAACACCAAATAATTCTTACTTTCAAAGTTTAATGATACCGGCCAAGCTAAATCTTATTTACCTCTAAGTATAGGAGGAATAAGAAAGCAAAGACTGAAAAAAATTACAAAAAATAAAGTTTTAGGAATATATATCAATACAGTTAATACTTATATAGAGTTAAAATTTGATGATCAGACATTACTTTAAAAATCAGTGTTACAATAAGAAGCATGTTAAATGAGACCACTCAAGTTCTCATTCCTTCTAGACAGTCAGGGCCAGCCAAGGTTTCCCATGCTGAATCAAATTAATGTCATCTTAGTAAATTACTAACACTTTCTCTCTAAATATATGTACGGTGCATATACATATATATGTATATATACACACATAAATACACTAAAAAACTAGATAGAAGTGTCACATGTTTTACAGCAGGAAAATCTTTTCATTAGCTTACCTCAGGCTTTCATTTCTTTCAGGGCAGGTCAGTTTTGAAAACTTAATGAGGTAGTCAAGTTCTTTTGAAGGCAAATACACTGCACCATTCAAACCCCCTGTGAAGTCTTTTTGTACATGTTCCTGTGTCAAGTTCTGTAATACATACTGAACTTGAAGTATAGTTCGAAGTTTTTTCTTCTCAGCCTCAAGTTTTAGCATGTGCTCCCTTCTCTGGGCCTTCTTCTGGGCTTTAAGTAGCTGTTAAAACAAATGTTAATTAAGGTTGACAACTCCACACCATCCCATATTAGCAATACATATTCTACCAAGTCTAACCTCAAATAGCTGAGATTAGATGGCAAATCTCATGACTGTCAAACCATCAGTTTGTTTAACTCCTGTCTCCTTTTTGGATCAAATAAGTCACTAAGTAGTAAATTGGTTTGTCTCCGGTAACCAGAGCCAAAGGAGCCCAAATAGATTTCCAAATCCAGGTTATCCCTAGTACATCTAATATAACCACAATAAGAAGCAATCACTGATGTCTCTATTAATCACACAATTTTGCTCTTCCATATTTATGTACATTAAACCTTTTTTAGGCCAAATATTTTAATGTCTTAGTTTAGGGTTTTGTTTTGTTTAATATCTTAGTTTGGGGTTTTGTTTTGTTCCAAACTAAAATGGTCAGTTTTCAACCAACTGGCTAAAACATAAGGAATTGAAAAGCTAATAAACATAAACTATCTTACAAATGTATTGCCAAAAGACAACCACAGCAAGCATTTTTTTTTTTTAAAGTAAAATTAAAGATATTTTCAGTAATAGTTTGCCCCATCAGTCTGGAGTTATATCCTCCAATATTTAGCTAACAAAACAGATATGAAAAACTACCAAAACTTAAGTGTTCCCTAACTACACAACACGAGTATGTAGATTGAGCAGCCCTGGGTCTATCCTAAAGCTCCAAATTATATCTTTTTTTTTTTTTTTTGAGTTGGAGTCTCACTCTGTCACCCAGACTGGAGTGCAGTGGCATACTCACGGCCTCCTGGGTTCAGACGATCCTTCCACCTCAGCCTTCCAACTAGCTGGAACTACAGGCATGAGCCACCACGCTCAGCTAATTTTTTTTATTTATTGTAGAAATGAGGTCTCGCCAAGTTGCCCAGGCTGGCCTCAAACCCCTGGGCTCAATTCTCTCATCCTGCCTCCCAAAGTGCTAGGATTACAGGCGTAAGCCACCACACCTGGACAAATTACAATATTGTAAAGTCTGACATAATATATGAGTTACTGAAGAGGCTTACTATTTAACTAAGTACCATCTGTTTCCAACAAAAAGCCTAAAAGATCTTTCCCCCTATAGTTTTTCTGATTGTAATGTTACTGTCATATTGGATATTTCCTAAGGTATAAAGAATACAAAAAAAAACCCTAAAAGATTTTCCTATAGATGGGTTAAAGTACTTTGATATGGCATCAATATTTTATACACTGTAAAAGAAATATTCATGAATCCTAACAGATTAAAATTAGAGGAGTAACCTCAAGAAAAAAACTTATTTAAAATAAATATATATAATTGATCCCTTTCTAGAGGGTATGGAAGCAACATAAAAGCTATCACCAAGAACAGAAAGATAATAAGCAAAGCTAAAATGTTGAAAATGAGACCATGTGTGGTGGTACACACCTGTAGTCCCAGCTATTCAAGAAGTTGAGGCAGCAGGATCACCTGATCCCAGGGGGTTGAGGCTGCTGTGAAGTGTGATCATGCCAACGCCCTTTAGCCTGGGCGACACGACACAGTGAAACCCTGACTCCAAAAAATAAAAAATAAAAGAAACTGAGAATAAAAGACTGATTGAAGGTTATGTGGGCAAGCATATTTTCTCAGGATGGTAAAGGCCCAGTAAGGCTTTTACCAAGACCTCCATATAGACCAATAACACCAAAACTCCAGGATTCTGTGTCTGCTTGGGAAATGTAAAGGAAGAGGGAGGTGGCACTTCTAGCTCTCCAAGACAGTTGGGTTCTTTTGGACACAGTTTAATCACAGTACAGGGAAAGGCAATTGATTCTCAGGGTATTTTTCTCAGGATTATTGCACATGATTATCTCAGATTTCTTTTCAGCCAACCACCCAAGCTGGATTAGGTGTTCCTACAGGCTCATGCCACCCTGAACTTCTCCTATCAAGGTATTTATCACATAAATGGCTATCATTTTATTCATCTGTACCCAGAATGACAGGAACCATATCTGTTCCTCACCAAAATATCACTAATGCTCAAACCAGAGCCTGACACATGAAGGAACTTCACATTTTTGTTGAATAAAAATCAAGTATCAAGAAAATCTCCCAGGTCATGATCTCATGTCATGAAAAGTCACTGACAACAGCCTATTTCTTCTTATTTAGGTGGAAACTAGGAGGGTAGGTTAGTTTTCTTCTCTTCTTCCAGTTGAGGACCAGTTTGGAAAGATGGAGAACATAAGAAGTACACTACTCTCAACCAACAGTACTGAATGTAGAATTTATCTTCTAAACCAAGACATACAGTGATGACTCCCTACCAAGGGATGGAGCTCATCTCATGAGGATGAAGAACGTGATGGGACTGTAAAGAAAGGCTTCCAACTTTAGTTTGAAGGGAAAAAATGTAAAATGAGACTATTTATACCTAGGGTTAAAAAATCAAGTGAAATAGCATAGGTACTTGAAGTTGTTTTTTTTTTTTTTTAATCTAAAAAGAAAAGAATACCATATATTAGAAAAACATATACCAGAATGGAAAACTAAAATTTGCTTGGGTAACTTTGAGCAAACAGAGAAGATAGGAAAGTTTAAGCATCATAAAAGTATATCTCTAACCATACTTTTAGTTCTTAAACAAGAATTAAGATGGTAGATGTCTTTAATTTTTGATGCCAGAGGAATGGAGAATATATTAGTTCACTATAAAGAATCATAAAATAAAAGAGACTCTCTTATGAGACAGGTTTCCCACCCCAGGAATGAGTTTATTTAAAATGTTCTCAGTCGGGCTTGGTGACTCAGCCTGTAATCCCAGTACTTCAGGAGGCCGAGGCAAGTGGATTGGTTCAAGATTAGCCCAGGCAACTGGGCAAGACCTCATCTCTACAATAAATTTTTAAAAATTAGCCAGGCATGGTACGCACACCTGTAGTTCCAGCTACTTGGAAGGTTAAGGTGGAAGGATGGCTGGCGCCCAGCAGGTCAACACTGAGGTGGCCGTGAGTGTACCACCGCACTCCAGTCTGGGTGACGGCATGAGAGGTCAACTCAAAAAAAAAAAAATGTTCTCAACTATTAGAACATGACCGTTAAAGGACCTTCTAATGCTAAGATACTGAAACAGTGAAGATACTTCATTAAGAAATGCTAAGACTTCATATTAATTATTGATTAAATTTGTCAAATAAAGGTCTGAAATGCTAACACAGAGAACCAAACAAGTAGTGAGGCCAGACTTAACTCTATTTAACACGAATTACAAATCTTCCTGATAACTTTCACGCTTTATTTATTTATTTATTTATTTATTTATTTATTTATTTGAGTAGGAGTCTCACTCTGTCACTCAGGCTAGAGTACAGTGGCACATTCATGGCCACTGCAGCCTCGACCCACTGGACTCAGGTGATCTTTCCACCTCAACCTTCCAAGCAGTTGGAACTACAGACACACACCACCACACCCAACTAATTTTTTTTATTTACTGTAGAGACGAGGTCTCGTCAAGTTGCTCAGGCTGGTCTCGAGCCCCTGAGCTCAGGCAATCCTCTTGTCTCCGCCTCCCAAAAGCATCGGGATTACAGGCATGAGCCACTGCACCAGACAATTATCACACTTTCAAGAAAAGTATCAACTCTATGCTTCCTCATAAAGGCTTATGCCTTTAATACCAGCATCTGGGAGACAAGAGGAATGACTGAGCCCAGGGGTTCGAGACTAGCCTGAGCAACATGGCGAGACTTCATCTCTACAATAAATAAATAAATAAATAGCCAGACATGGTGGTGCATACCTATAGTTCCAGCTACTTGGAAAGCAGAGGCAGGCTTGCCTGAGCCCAACATGCCACTGCACTCCAGCCTGAGCAACAGAGTGAGATTCCTAATCCAAAAAAAAAAAAAAACTAAACTTAAGTCTGTATTATATAAATATGCAAGCCTGTATTCTAAAATATCTTTAATAAATAGACCTGTCAAAATAGTTTTTATTCCTTTTTCAATAATTTCTATAATTCATTAAAAAAAAACACACATTAGATACTCTAACAGATTACACTAATACTCTATTCACAGTGTCTCATATTCAGATGCCATTTGTTCCCCTGAGACTACAGAAATCTGAAAAAACTAGTTCTTCAATAGTTATCCTCAGTTCTCATCCCCAATAAAATATCAGCAGAAACTAAGTGGATGGTAATGGAACACCATTATTACACAACAACAAACTGACATTTTCTTCAAGATCATTCATTAAACTAATTTCAGGAAAACCAAAGAAAACATACTCACATCTAGGCTCAGTCCAGAAAAGGTTTTCTGAAGCTCCTTGGCAAATTCCAAATTATGGAGCACTTCTTCATATTTCTCTACTGCTTCCTACCAAACAGGATAAGGAAACATCAATTTTGTGACCTTTTAAGCATAAATATGTAAAAAATAAGTGTTCCTTAAATACAACAAAAGAGATTTAAGACCTTATGAACTAGACATTTACCATACATACCCAGAAAAGTACTATCTAAGCAAAAAGTATGGAGAAAGAGTATTAGAAGTTATTGAAAGTTGTATTTAAAAAATCAATTTTAAGGGCTAGGTATGGTTGTTCACTCCTGTAATCTCAGCACCTGGGTAGGCCAAGATGGGAGGACTGTTTGAGCCCCAGAGTTCAAGATCAGCTTAGGCAACATAATAAGACCTAATCTCAACCAAAAAACAAAACAAAAAAAATTAGCCAGGCATGGTGGCACATGCCTGTTGTCCTAGTTACTTGGGAGGCTAAGGTGGGAGGATCACCTGAGCTCAGGAAGTCAAAGCTGTAGTGAGCTGTGACTATGCCACTGTACACCAACCTGAATGACAGACATCCCGACTCAAAAAAATAAATACACTTAAATTAAATTTTAAGACCAGGCACAGTAGCTCATGCCTGTAACCCAGCTGGGAAGATTGCTTAAGCCAAGAAGTTTGAGACCAGCCAAGGCAACATAGCAAAACCTCATCTCCACAAAAAATCAAAAATGTAGTCAGGCATAGTGGTGCATGCCTGTAGTCCCAGTTACTCAGAAGGCTGAGGCAGAAGGATCACTTGAGCCCAGGAGGTCAATGCTGTGGTGAGCCATGATGGGTGGAAAAAAAGACTTGTAAATAATTACCCATAAAAGGCAAAAATTAAATATTATAACAGAAATAACAAGCAATGTCCTACAGAAAGTTTAAAGGAACAAATTTTTTAAGATTTCACAGATGGGGGGAGGGAGATGGGATTAACAGTAGCAAATATCTGTCTGGGAATGGGGAAACACCCCATATCAACAGGGTGCCTGAATGAAACGCAATTGTATACCTAACCCTTAACTGTACCCCACAACTTCACAATAAAAAAAAAAGAGAGAAAAAAAAAAGATTTCACAGATGAGTAAAATTGAAAATTAGAAAAGAGGTAGGCTTTTCCTGGAACTCAAATCTATATGGAAGAAGAAAGGACCAATCTGGAACAGAACAAGACAGGGAACTTGCCCAACCAGAAAAAGACATATTATAAAGTCTCAAAAATTAAAATAGTATAGTATTCCGCTCCTAGGCATGTACTCAAAAGAAATAAAATATATGTCCACATAACGACTTGGAGGGAAAAAAAATACATACACACACACACACACACACATATATATATATAGCAGCATTACTCATAATAGCCCTAAATATAAACAAAATGTGGTACATCCATACACTGGAATACTAGTCAGCAATAAAAAGAAATGGAATACTGATACATGACATTAAATAGATACATCTCAAAAATAGCATGCTAAGTGAAAGAAGTCAGACACAAAGTATTTTATTTCACATGAAATATTCAAAAAAGACAAATTCATAGAGATAAAAAGCACATCAGAACACAAAAGAGAACTTTGGGGGCAGATGTAATAGAAATACTCTAGTTTGGTTATGGTGATAGTTGTAAAACTCTACAACTTTACTATAAATCACTAAACTGTACACTTACAAGTGTACAGTTGCACTTATATTTTTTGTGGCATGTACATTATAGTTCAATAAAGTTATTGAAAAAAATAGTCTGATAATACTGTCTTTATAAAGGATCTGGGCATGGTGACTGATGCCTGTAATCCCCACACTTTGGAAGGCAGAGGTGAGAGGATTGTCTGAGCCACGCATTCAAAACCAGCCTAGGCAACATGGCAAGACCTTCTCTCTACAATATATCTTCACCCAAAAAATTAGCTGGGCATGGCGGCACATGCCTGTAGTTCCAGCTACTTGGAAGGCTGAAGCAGAAGAATCACCTGAACCCAGTAGTTGAAGCTGTGGTGACAGTGGCATGCCACTGCACTCCAGCCTGGGCAATAGAGTGAGACTCTGACTCAAAAAAAAAAAAGAAAAAAGAAAGAAGGAAAGAAAGAAAAAAAAAGTTTGTATAAAGTTATAGAGTAATAATAGTACCTTCTGTGTACTATCAATATTAGTACAAATCTGTACAATAATTTTGGAAAACAGGTATTTTTATTTATAAAGTTAACTACAGGCACACCCTACAGCCTAAAGATAAGAATATAGCCTGAAAATCTTACACCTGTGTCTCAATAACACATAAGATTTGTCTAAGCAGAATTGTTAGACAAATCTTATGTCTAAGCAGAATTGCAAACTCAAGCACCCATCTATTTACAGACTACTACTAAGTAGAGAAAAACAAATGAAATATAGGTAGCTGCATTAATATTTTTTAAAAATATTGTAATCCCAGCACTTGGGAGGCAGAGGCGAGAGGAATGCCTGAGCTCAGGGATCTGAGACCAGCCTGGCAACATGATGAGACCCTGTCTCTACAATAAATCAAAAAATCAGCCAGGCATGATTGTGCATGCCTGTGGTTCCAGCTCATGCCTGTCATCCCAGCACTTTGGGAGGCCTAGGTGGGCAGATTGCTTGAGCCCAGGAGTTTGAGACCACCCTGGGCAATGTAGCCAAACAGATCTACAAAAAATTAGGTGGGCATGGTGGCAGGCACCTATAGCCCCCAGCTACTCAGGATGCTGAGAAGGAAGGATCTGCCTAGACCAGGTTGAGGCTGTTACTAGCTGTGATCATGTGATCATGCCACTACACTCCAGCCTAGGAGACAGAGACCCCAACTCAAAAAAAAAAAAAATACTCAACATAATGAATGAAAAAGACAAACTGCAGTATATATAACATAATACTATTTATTACAATGTACAAAATAGCAACTCTAACAGATTTAAGGGTAATACACTTGTGCTATTAAAATAAAAGTGAAAAGTTCAGGGTCATGGTTAAGGAAAGAGAAAGTACTGTACTAAAAAGGAGCTTCAACAGTGTTGGTAATGTACTATTTGAGTTGAGAGATTGATGCTTGCTTTCTTATGTGTTATAACTTATGAAACATTTTGTTTGGACCATATATTTTCTAGTAAAACGTTAGCAAGGGTTTCCTGCTACAGAAACAAGAATGGGCAGATAACGTACCCAGAGTGTAGTCTCCAGAGGGATATAAAACTAGAAAAAAGTACTCCTCCATACCCACTCCCAAATGGTATTAATGTAATTCAAGTACAGCAGGAATCAGACAGGAACTACCTCAACCTTCCATCATGTAACATGGACCTACCCTTTCATTCTTTCTTTCTTTACACAGTGAAAAGTCTCCTTTTCACCTGTGCCCTGGATCCTATTCAATTCTGCCTTCATAAGAAGTCTTATTCTCTAATTCCCTCATTAATGTCTTCTAAGAGAGAGCTGCTCCCTCTCTGTTGATGCTTAAATCAGCATTTTAAAAGTCCTAGTCAACTCCAATCTGAAGAAAAAAATCATAAGTTCCTCTCTGATAACTACTTCCCTCCAGTCTAAGACAAATTTCAGAAGTGTTTCAGTCTCCATTTCTTCAGCTCTCATCATCTGGAATCTGTCTCTGCCATTCCACCAGAACTGTTTTAGCTGACGTCCTATCTTTAAAGCTATGGATCTCTTAGAGCTCTTATTTGGGGTGACTTCTCAGCAGCCTTCAACATAAAGGCAGACTCCTGTTCTACAAATACCTCTTTTTCATAACACTAAATTTCCATTTTTCAACCATTTCTCCAGCTGTTTATTTACCAGCAGTTTTTCCATTAACTTCTCTCACCTCTGTGTTTAGAATCTGTAAAATAGAATAGACCTACTTCATAGATATGCTGTACAATTTAAATGATTTAGTATGTACAAAGCACTCAGAATGATGCCTGACGCTAATACAGTGTTGTATTTTTTAGCCATTATTATCCAAATGTTAAATGTCAGAGTTCCTCAGGATTCTGTCCTAGGCTCATGTTCTGGTTTTTACATTCTCACCCAAGACAGTCTCATCTTTCCTAATGGTTTCAAATGGCTGCCCTACAGGCAATCTATTCCTAAACTAAACTTATCTTGCTCCAGACCCATTTATCAAAATACCTGCTAGTCACAGAAGTCTCACAGGCACATTAAAGTCAGTGACAGTCGGGCTCGGTGGCTCAGCCTGTAATCCCGTGCCTTTGGGAGGCTGAGGTGAGTGGATTGCCTGAGCCCGCGGGTTCGAGACCCGCCTGGGCAACTTGGCAAGACCTCATCTCTACAATAAATCAAAAAAATTAGTCAGGCATGGTAGCGCGTGCCTGTAGCTCCAGCTACATGGAAGGATGAGGCAGAAGGATCACTGGAGCCCAGCAGGTTGAGGCTGCAGTGGCCAGGAGTGGCCACTGCACTCCAGTCTGGGCAATAGAGTGAGACTCCAACTCAAAAAAATAAAAATTAAATTAAATAAATAAATAAATAAATAATGTCAGTGACACAAAACTGAGCTCTTATCCTACCTCAGTCTCCCAAAACCTCCTTCTACCGGTATTTCCAAGCTCAATACATAATCTTGCCACCCTTCCAACTGTTCAACCGCACTCAGCTCCACCATCCAATCCTATATCCAGTTCCCAAGCCATGTTGATTTCCCCTCTCAAATCTCTCTCAAATCCAGCTACTATATTCAAACTCCTCTGTATTACCTTAGTAGAGCTCTCATAATCACTCATCTAGACTACAAGCAACCCTTTTCTAGTCTCTTTCTATCCACACCTACCATCTCAAAACCACTTTTCACATTGCAAAGTGTTTTTTTTTACACTAAAAATCTGTAGTAGTTATTCTCTGCTTAAAACATATCTATGCTATTTCTGATGCTTAATGAAAAAGCACAGTCTTCAAAGTAGCATTAAAAAGACCCACATATCATGGCCTTCTCCTTCCAGCTTCATCACTCCATCCACACTGGCCCAGTTTCTTATGAAGGTTGTTTAAAAAAAAAAAAAAATTCCTTCACGTGC